TCTTATGACTGTTCCAATATTATTTGGATGTTTGGAATGATGGTCCATGTTTCTCCTTTAGTTTGATATCACATTCGTTCATTTACATGCTATAAAAGGTCAAGCTCTGGCTAACTTTTTATCAATACACCATATTTCTACTAAGTCCCCTTTAAATGATGATCTTCCTAACGAGGAAGTTATCAGTTTAGAAGAGTAGGAGAGCACTACTTGAGAGTTATATTTTGATGGTATTATGCCCTATTAAAGGAATAAAGAACCACATGATGTTCTTCTAAGGAAGGCATGTATTGGGTTATTATTAATGATCACCAAGAAGGGATTAATGCATTATTATAACCACTTATTAGAGCCTTGCATGAATAATGAATCCAAATATGAAGCTTTATTAACTGGTTTAGAATTAACAATCTTTATGAAAATTAAGGAAATCAAGATATTTAGAGTCTCATAACTAGTTATTAATCAAGTTGTTAGTATTTACAAATTCTTGAAACCTAAACTCCTTCCAACTGCTAATAAATAGTTAAGCTTCTCTAAAAGAAAAAAGTTAAGCTTCTCTAGTAGATTCTGAATGTAACTATGTATAAGATACCACATGAGAGAAATTCTATGGCGGATGCCCTATCAAAACTCGCAAAGTAATTAGCATGTCTTAAAGAAGAATAAATCTCTATGGAAGTACAAGATCATAAGAGGACTTTGGGATTAATCTTTTCTCTTATATATTTAGAGTACATTAATAAAAATTTCCTTCTAAGGGTGAGATTGCTCTTAGGGTAGATAATGAGATAATATATTAAAGACATCTCTTCATCGATTACCTGCAACAAGGCAAACATCCTTAAGAGAAATCTGTCACTGACCAGATTGAGAGAAGGGCTCTCTCTTATGCATTGGTCAATGACACTTTAAACCGCCAATCTTTTAATTAGATGTGTGGTTATGTTGTCTTAACACACATGAAGCCATAAATATGGCAGCTGAGGTACATGTTGGATTATGTGGTGTTGATTAATCTAGGACTAAAGTGAAATTAAAAATTAAAATATTAAAGTATTATTAGTCATCATTGCTTGGAAACTACATGAATATTGCACATTGTTGTCATTAGTGCCAAGTACATGGTGTAGTTTTGCATTAGTATAATAACCTGTATTTTGACCCAAGTAAATAAATTTTTTTGGACTTATTATAACTTCAAATCATAAATCATCTTCGTCATGTTGTTATTATTATAGTAGTTTATTTATGCAATTTTTTTTGTAATTTTTGGGTGCCGATGCAAATCCTAAAGAAAATGGCACATGTAAGTACAAGTGGAGATTTGGGACCATCATGTATCCATTTTGCAAACCGATTTCATCAATATTTTCTAAATAAAATATATATTTTTATGAATATTTTTCTATAATTTTTGAAGCCCCAAAAATTTTTTATATGTTTATACTAAAAGAATTTGATTAAATTAATTATATAATATTTAATTATTATTTTAATCAAAATATCTTAATTCACAAAAAAAAATTAAAAAAAATTTCATATTCATTTTTGGCAACAAAGAATCATTGAAAGAAATTAGAGAGAAAAGATAAGAGAGAGAAAAGGAAATCTTGGATTTGAAGGCCGTGGAGCAATTTTTGTTAGTCAGCTCATTGAGGAAATTTGTTAATCTCTTTTTAAGGAACATTTATCTTATTTTTTATTTAAAAAATTATATGTTTTTTGTATTTTTTGATCAAATTTATACTTCCATTATAAAAAATTGAGAATACTTTTATAATGATAAGACTTTCACCGCATAATGTTTTCTATATTATAGAGATTGAGATTATTTATTTGAGATTTTTTACTAAGTGATTTTAAAATTATATCAATTTTTACCTACTTAAAATTTTATTTTGATGTCTAAAAATTATGATTTAGTTCAACTAAAGCTTCAAGATATTATTTTATGCAATATATTGTAATTTGGTTAAATTTTGAAAATATAAATTTTTGCCTAGTATGATTTTTGTTATATACCATTATGACACTTTGGTATTTTTTGAATTAAACTCAATTATTCTTTATTTACTACAATGTATTAAAAATGAATGTGGATATTTAATTGAGATTAATGTTATAGTGTTGTGATACTAATGTGTATGTAAAGACTGATAAAGATTGGTTGACCTGTTTGTTAGAAACTAATTAACCTGATAAGATGATGAGCTGATGAACTTTCCTTTAAATACTGTGGCTTGATATTATCATCTACTAATTCATGTGATACACTAATTGAGAGTTATAAGGAGATGATTACTATACTAACGAGGAAAGAGTGATGTCTTTGTTTACTGAGCCAACAATTTACTGATACAATACTAAAAACCACCATAATATTCTTACTTGTTTAGTGTGAATATTAAAATATATGTTCTTGAGGAATTATTCTTATTTTATTATTACTGCACATATTTATTATTAAAATATTATTATATTGCTCCTATCAGTGGATTGTTATTGTTATTGATTTAAATATTGATACTAAGCATGTGATATATTGAGCACATGACATACATGATATATTAAGCTTGTGATTAAGATATTAATTTAATACTGATATATAATAAATGAATAGCATGTGTACATTCATATATAATTTTATTAAATTGATTTGACTTCAACATTCTTTACTGATATTTTGATTTGATGCTTTATCCAATTTCTGTACTGATTGATATTAAGGATACGACCATTGCTTTATAAATTTTACACTCGTACTAGTTTATTGCATTATTGGTTTTTGTACTATAGTATTTTACTATTTATAGATTCTACTACTATTGCATTATTGCATGTGAAGTTTACTATTTTTGCACTAATACAATGATCATATGAATGTAACTGCTATTTTTCTATCATTGACAAGCATTTTGCTCCTTTGTCATGTTTTGAATTCAATTATAGGTTTTAGTGGCCTGCTGGGTTTTTTAAACTCATTATATGTGGTTAAATATTTCAGGTCAGGATAGAAGATTAGGAGAATAAGGTAGGTCATGATTTCTTCAGGTTATATTTCTTTTTAGTTTAGCTGTTATTTTGTACTAAGGACATGATAAATATGTGATGATTATATAGATCTTGAATATTGTATATGATTTTTGGGAATGCTCTGTTTGTTGTTATTCATTAAAAGATAAACGAATAATTCTTCCAAATTAGATTTTGGGCATCGCAATTAGTCATCAAATAAATTGCTACAAACTATATCTTCGTCGCCTTTTGAAAGTTGGTGCATGAATATTATTGGTTCAATTAAAATTATGAGGGAGAGTAATTGAGCATATGTTATGACATGATACTAATGTTTCTCAAAATTAGTTTGGATTCATCCCAAGTAGGTTTACCATAAAAGCTATATATTTGTTCAGAGATTTGATGGAGAAGTAAAGAAGAGTAAGGATGATCTACATATGATATTTATTGATTAAGAGAAAGAAAATAATAAAGTTTCAAGAGAAGTGCTTTGGAGCATTCTAGAAAAGAACGGAGTTAATAATACTTATATTCAAGTCATTAATGATATGTATATAAGTATTGTTGCTTTTGTTCAAACATAAGGTGGCTAGACAAAGTTATTTCCTAGTTTAGTTGAATTACATCAAGGATCATCTTTAAACCCATAAATTTTTACTTTTGTCAAGATGTTCTTACTATACATTTGCATGAGGGTGCACCTTCGTGCATACTGTTTGCTAAAGATATTATTCTTGTTGATTAGATTAGAGAGGTAGTTGATGAAAAACTTGAATTATGAAGGTTAACCTTATAGTTTAAAAGTTTTAGTTTAAGCAGATCTAAAATTGAATACATAAAGTAAAATTTAGTAATAATAGATCTAGTGATGGAATGGTGAGATTAAGTGATCAAATCATTAAAAAAAGTGCACGTTTTATATATATTGTGCTTATTGTTCAAATCAATGGTGAAACAAATAGAAATACTATTAGAAGAATTCAAATTGGATGATTGAAGTGGACGAAAGCATTAAGCATGTTGTGTGAAAGAAAAGTACCCCTTAAACATAAGAGAAAATTTATAAGATGATGGTGAGATCTGGAATGCTTTTTGATGTAAAATGTTGACCATTAAAAGAGAGCATTAAATTAAGTTGTGTAGAGATGAGGATGCTCAAGTGGACGAGTGGCTTTTAACTTAGAGACAAAATGCAAAATAATTATATACATGAAAAGGTTGTTGCACCTTGTTAGGAGAGTAGATGTATTAGATCCGACTTATGATAAGAAAGATAGTAGTAGATCAAAAAAGACTTATTTATAAAGTATTAAAAATGATATTTTTAAATTATATTTAAATGAGTTTGACTCTTAATAAGATGTAATGGAGAAAAAGATTCATGTAGCCTATATCACATGATAGAAAAAAGGCTATTACTGTTGTATTAAACAATTTAGATTAACTTTTCAAAGATTATTCTATTGTGATTTAATCATCATCATTCTAATGACAAAGGTTATCGAAATATGACCATGATATTATAATTACATGGTAAATTGAATTCTAATGACCAAAGAGTTCAAGATTTAGGATTCATTGTGCGAAGCATGCTTTCAATTCTAACACACAAATCTAAATTATCACCATCCTTCCAAGACTATATATAGAGAGATTGTCGCTATAAATATTTTCTAAAGGTCGAAGATACAAAATTTGCAATCAATGATGACCAAGAAGATGACGGGGACAAAAAGATGAAAGTCCTATTACGATCGAAAAATATTATAACGGTTGAGTAATATTTGGACTCTATTTGCTAAGAAAAAAAAGGCATACATTTTATACCCAAAAACATAATGAACATATTTGTTTAATTTTTAGTATTACAAAGTATAGAAAGCTAAAGAAAGCAATTAAAATAAAAAAGGATTAATGTAAATTTTCAATAAATCTTACATTTTCTTACCTACGAACAATATCGACGGCGGTAATCTCTCTCCGTTCGGTAAACGCAACTTTAAACAACGAGCTTCGCTCGCTTGACAGCGACTTCTCCTTCCCTTCGCCGGTGCTCGGAGCGTCCATTTCCGTCCGCTCTGTCGATTTTTTCTCTCTTTCGTTTGCCCATTTTTTGTCTTCTGCGCATTTGGGCTTCCGTAGCTGAAAACTACTGCTACTAATCTAGAATATTAGGCGTAATGATATGAAGCCAGAGCCGCGAAAAATCCCTTCTATTTAGATAAAGGAGAAGGTTCAGTTTCCTTGGTTTTACTTGCGCAGCCGGCGTGGCTAGGGCTTTTTCTGGTAACTTCTTACCTTACTCATAATGAATAATGCTTGTTATGAAGTACGTTTGCTGTTTATTTAATTGGTATTTGTTTTCTGTATTGGTTTAGGATGCACCATGAATCCATGATATCCTCCTTATTAAGGTTTCTTTGGCTACAAATAGGATTTTGTAAATTCTGCAAATCCAGTATAAGTAAATCTTGAGGGATTTAATAATTGAATTTTTTTTGCATGAGAAATTTCAAGTGTCCATTTAGGGCCATTGTAGCTATTTGTAAAAGGCTTTTTTTTTTTTCCTTTTTATTGGAGTGTTATCGAAAGATTTTTCATCTTCAGCCAACGAGCCACAGTTTGATTAGTGTTATTTGTAAAAGTAGATGTAGAGTTGTCATGGGAAAAAGTAAAATTTTCTTAAAGGTTTTGTAAGTATTATAAAAATTTCTCTTTTAAAAATATTAGAGATCAATTTTCTTATAACTACCACATTTTAATAGATCTAGTCGTAAACATTATTTCACACAAAAATTTGTTAAAAATAACAAGAAGATTGTAGCTAAACAATAATGTAATAATAGTTGAAAAGCTACGCAGTAAAAAAAATTGTCTTAACCTCCCAAGGTCTCAACTCTTAAAACCCCAAGATCAATATATGGAGATAATTTCTTATTGTGAGCAATGAAATTAATCTAGCATGAACTCATCTAAAAAATTTTAGGTTTTGGTTGGAACCGATTAAGTTTTGGCTCAGGTGCAGGTTTGAAACTCAACTCGATTAAAATTTGGGTTAAGTTTGGGTTGACCCAGTAAATTGATATTGACCCTATTATTATTTGGATTTGAGTTGAAATGGATCAACTTTAGGTTAAACGGGTCCTCCAGTTCAAAATTGGGTCTGTTTATGCTTGAATTTGGCTTGAGTGCAACCCTTGGTATTTTGGGCCTCAAACTTCATTTTTTTTTTAGTTCTGCTTTTTGTATTTGGTTTAGAAAATTCCAAAATTTGATATTTTTTTCTTTTTGATATTTTTCTTTAACTTATAGTAAATTTTAATAAATTGTGAGGGAAAAAATAAATTATGGTTCCTGATGTAAAAAGTGAGGTTTGTATACACACACACCTCACTTTTTACAGCAAATGTCATAATTTATATTTTGTTCTTAATCGGGATCATGGTTCACACTAAAGGGATGTTTGGTTAGCTAAAAAAGGAACGCAGTGCAAAATGAATACAATGTAAAATAAATACTTTGGATTTGTTTGGATTAATATAAAGTAAATGTAGGTGAATGTTTTTTTTTTAAATTTGTTTAGAAGTAATGAATGCAGTGTAAAATTCAAAGATGGTGGTAGCCAGTGGGTGGTGACGGTGACAATAGTGGTGGCTGGGCGACCAATAGTGGTGGTCGATGGTGGTGGTGGCTCGCAAGCAGCGGCAACAATGGGTGGCGGCCAAGCGAGCTTGCTTGTGTTGTAAATGGTTCTCGCTCAAAATTGGGGGAGTTTGATTTACTTCAAAAATGAATTAAAATGGTTTACACTACATTTACTTTTCTTTTAGTTTGTTTTCCTTCTTCATCCAATCAAATAATTGGATTTTCAAAACCTCTATATTTGGAATACTTTACAATACTTTGAATTCCATCTGATGAGCCCCTAAGTGGAACCTTTTAGGAGCTTTTGGTCAAATGATCTTGATGCAACACCAAGACAAAAGCTGAAGAAAATGTTAAAAATCAAAGCACTATATTTTAGATTTGTATCATTCATCATGCATAACTCTCCGTACAAGCCCACGAAAAAATCATAATCTCTCTAAAATCATTGAAAAATAAGTACGAAGCTTAATTTACTGTCTTTTGATAAATAGGTAGGTTATACCAATCAATGAAACAAAAATATTAAAAAATTGTCTGATTTTAGGACCACTTATTTTATTTTGCTAATACAAATTTTTATATTTAAAAAAAAATGTAAACTTAATTTTATTTATCTTATTTTCTTTATATTTATATTAGGATAAGTCATCAATCTAATACAACAACAACAACAATATCAAACATTTATCCCATTACATGGGGTCTGCTAAATGAATCATTTTTCTCCATTGTGTTCTATTAAGAGTCAAATTCTCATTTAAATCTAATACAGAAAGGTCATTTTTAATATTTTCTACCAAGTCTTTTTAGGTGTACCTTTATCTTTCTTAACATAAGCCAAATCTAATACATCTACTCTCCTAACCGAGTCATTGGAAGGATGTCATTTTATATGACCAAACCATCAATCCATAGAATAATATTTTTTTGTTCCTAAGATTTTTTAAAGTTATCTAGACTTGAAAAAAGTTTATAAATTGTATATTACTTTGTACTTTTATATTAATTGAATAAAATTTACTTTTTGTTTTTGTAATTTTACATGTAAAGGCTTGGTGGTTGTTTTACCCTTGAGTGAAGTTTGCTGACTAACCACTAAGGCTTTGATTAGTCCTTAGTTGTCTTTTCTCACCTTTACTCTTTTTTCTCAATAAAGTTCTCAATTTTTAGACATGACTTATTTTAGCTTCTTTCCCCAAAATAACCTTTAAATACCCTAACAAAAAGCTCAATATATGGAGATAACTTATTGTTTTGAGCAATCATATTAAAAATATCACAATTCTTAACTACTGACCCAAAATCTACAAAACACTAGTATTAGTTCCCTAACATCCCAAATCTTAGCCCATGTGTTGGTAGGGGAAATTGGTTAAGCTTGATTTTTGACGGGCATCATGGTATGCGAAGGAGAGTAATGCAACACAAACATATTTTAAGGAAACTTAAAAAATTCAAACTAGTCATTGATTTGACTCAAAATGGCAAGATTAGATGCCAAACAAGCATATAACGACACAAAGACCTCATCATAAGCTGAAATCATCTCTTTAGACTCTAAAAACATAAAAACAAAACATTGGAAGGCCTTATCTAGTTGCTCCCCTACTAGATTAAGGCTTATCGAATCAATTGGGCCACCAACCCCACCACATGTGAGGCACAAGCTATTTGTCTTGGACAGTGGTGAAAAAATGTTGCCACCACCAATGCCTTTTCTATTGACAAACCTCTTGGCTCTCCATGACATCTGCAACACATTGGCGGCTATTGATTGCACAAACACACTTTTGTTATGTTGCAATTTGTCGTTAAATATTTGATCTTCTCAGTGTTGTTGTAAGCTCATAGGCGAGTGTATCTTTAATCATTTGCCCCAACATACTTTTCTTAAGGGAAGAGTTTATCCATATACAAATGGTTGGAAATTGTCAACTATATAGTTGGTGAACCTAGGGTTGTTAATTTGTAGATGGTAAACCTAGAGGTGTCAAAATGAGTTAATGGGTTGGATTTGGGTTCGCCTCGAAATTAAGCCAATTTGAATCTATTCTACCCGAACCCGACCTGTTTAATAAACGCGTAAAAAAGGTGGGCTCGAATCCGGATGACCTGAACACAAGTTGATAGTTTGTTTGATTAAAAAAAATTATAATTTGTCAACTATATAGTTTAGATTAATTGATAACAAATAATTTGAGTATATCAACAAGCTGAAGAATTTAAGGGAAAAAAATTAAACGACTCACTTTTGGGTTAAAATTGGGTTCGAAGGTTAACATGTACCCAACCTCCCAATTAAATATGTTAGAATTCCAAATCCAAACTCAATTTGTTTATTAAACGGGTCAACCTGAACCCGAATTTTTGGGTCGGATTATTTATTGGCATTTCATAGGGATATTTTTAGTTATATGGCCATTAAACTTCAACCAATCACAACTGATGTTCTTGTGATTTCGACATCTATGATGTAGCATATCTAGATTTTTTATCTAAGAAGCCACAAGATGTAGTCATCAACATATTCCTATTGGTTGCCTAGGTTAACCAAGGGATTGCATCATTTGATCATGGGATGTTACGATTTGCACTATACGATGTGGAAAACCACAAGTAATTTTCCAAATAAAAATCATAATGCCCTTTCCAAAAATATTAAGCCCTTGCATGCAAGAATCACTCATCAACTACCATTCGTAAGGATTGTGCCGCAAACCTATCATGTGTCAAAATCTTCTCTCTGCAAGACCTATGTTGTAACCCTTGTTTTTTTTTTTGTAGCTATCACCTACATATAACCTTTGCTTACACTGCAGCCATATCCTATAAGACCTTTGCCACAACCGTCTTTCACAAGCCTGTGCTACAGTAGTCCCTTGCAAGAATAACGCCACAACTCGTCTCTTAGAAGACCTACGTTGTAGTCATCTCATGTAACACTTGTGCCTCAACAATTTCTTGAAAACCAGTGAGTAGACAAGACCATTATGTAACCTTATTTTCACATGAACAAGAAATTAAGCATAATTTACCACAGGAAAATTCTAAGTCGAATAGAAAATGATAACTTAACTAGCTCACCAGACTCGTTAATTGCACAATACTGCTCGTTGACCTATCTTCAACATGATATGAAGATGAAAACCGCACTTCAATGTGTTATATGGAGTTATCTTTGTCCAATTGCTTAACATTCTACTCGTCTTTTAGGTACTTTTAGTATTGTGAATGCCAATTTTTATGAATATATTTGGCAATTCAGAAGCAAAATTTCACTAAGCTTTTCATAAGTTAAAATAAAGAAAATGTTGGCTAGATCCAGCTTTTTGATTAGTTGGTTATGTGGTTGATTGCACAGGAGTATTACAACCATATGATTTCTATATCTTAAATTTTTTATTTACTGATGCAGCTAAGACATTTCGTAGTTCTGGCTTTATGATAATGTGTCAATTAAAAACACTAATCAGTCATTCTGTTTCTACTTCCCACCAGATAAACTGGCGACCTCGACTTAGAGGAAGAGTTATCTGCTGTTCAATGGAGCTTTCTTTTTACTTTGGCAGCCATTCTTCCTATTCATTCATGGGAATATTCTTTTGTCTTTTATTGTTTACCTTTTTTCGGAACTCCCGAGTAGTTCTGGCAGATTCAGAATATTTGATTGGTCTTGGGAGCTACGACATCACAGGACCTGCAGCAGATGTAAATATGATGGGTTATGCTAACACTGATCAGATTGCTTCTGGTGTTCATTTTAGGCTGAAAGCTCGCTCTTTTATTGTGGCTGAACCTGTTGGAAATCGTGTTGCATTTGTAAATCTTGATGCATGTATGGCATCTCAACTTGTGACAATTAAAGTTCTCGAAAGATTGAGGGCAAGGTACAATGATGACAACCTTCGTTGATTGTGATAATAATGCTGATTGCTTCTTGTTTTAACCATTCAACTCTAACCTTTGTAGTTATATGACATTTAATATCTGCATTTCGTGCATAATAGGTTTATATGCAGATAACTATTACTTGATGTACTACATAGATTGATTGTTGTCACCTACGCCTTTTGATGGTAAAGACAATCTGGCTATACAAGCATATAATACAATATAAGTACTAGCTAATATTACAATAGTATTGAGGCATTTTTCATCCGTAATGCAAGACGTAAGACTCAAAACTCAAAATTTATGTATTGTTAAAATAAATATTAGAAGTGATTTTTTATATGATAACCAAATAATATATTAAAGAATGATATATTAACATTCAATTAAACTATGAAATATTAAATTGGCATACATATGAGCCAAAAAATTCACAAGATGTAAAGTGACTAGTGATAAATTAAATAAAATAGAATTGAAATGCAAACATTATAATAGAAAAATAATATAAAATCTTAGAATTGTATCAAAATATCATATAACATCAAGTTCATTTCTAAGTTTTTTTTTCCTAAGTTCCCTACTTATCTATATTTAATTTATAAAGAAAATAATAATAGTATAACGACAACTCAAAAGTCATTTGTGTTTGTTATAATTGAGATGTTCTTCAGTTGAGTCATCGTCGTAACAAATTTCTTTCTCCTTTATCTCATCACTTGTGAAATCTAATGTCTTTCAATATGCTTCTTAATCAATTTCAATCATCTTTCTCTTTCCTAAATATTTTTCATCAACTTAAAAATTAGAGTAATACTCCAAATTAAAAAAGTTGTAAAAATTTTAAATTTTTTATATACCTTTTTTTTTAGGTCTTTCTATAGATGGCTTGTGGTAGATGCTGATACTTTACTTTTATCACCATAAAAAATCAACGTTTAAATCTTCTTCTTGTAATTTAAAATTTTAATAAAATTTAACTAAATAAAAATTTAATATTTAAAATTTTATTTAAATAAAAATAATATTTAATGAACCGGCCGGTTCAACCAAACTAGAACTGATTCGACGGTTTACCGGTTGAATCGGTGGTTCAAATCGGTTTGCATCGGTTCAATGCAAATCCAATTTTCCAACTTGACCGGACCGGCAATTGGACCGGTTCACGGTTGAGCCGATTGAACCGGTCGGTCCAATCCGATTTTGAAAACATAGGTGTAATCCAATTTTATATTAGGATTTTTTTTCTCTTGTTTATGCATATTGAATCGAAGATTCAGAATTCAGATAGTAGCATGTTGCATGTAAATAACGATAAAGCTTTAGCTCCCACTTTTCATCAATAATTGCTCACATTTCCCTATAGTCATTATTTAAAATTGCACAACGAGAGGCGCACCTTAGTGCAATTCGATCCTGTAATGCGTCGAGGCTTATGCTTTGAACCCGAATCGTGATGTGTACGCCTCAAATCTATGTAGGCGCGCCTTGAGGTGCTCCTCGCCTCACTTATGTGAGACGTTTGCCTCAAAATAACACATAAATAAAGTTATTAAAACCTAAATCTGATGTCAAGTACATTCGTTCCTACTATTCGACTTCGTCTGCTACACCACCTGTAAGGTAGAGTTTTGAACGAGTCCCTAAAAGCTTCTTCGCCTTCTTCGACAATGTTGCATGGTCGATCATTGCATGGTTGATCGGAAGTCAGGATATGTCAACGACGTGCCCTATTGGATTGGAAGTCAGGAACTTTCGATCCAACTTATTCTTTACTTTTATCACCATAAAAAAATCAATGTTTTAAATTTTTAATCTTCTTCTTGTAATTTAAAATTTTAATAAAATTTAATATTAAAAAATTTATTTAAGTAAAAAATAATATTTATTGAACCGACCGATTCAACCAAACCGGACCGGTTCGATGATTTATCGGTTGAACTGGCGGTTCAAATTGATTTTCACTGGTTCAATGCAAATCCAGTTTTCCGACTGGACCGACAACTGAATCGATTGAACCGGCCGATCCAGTCTGATTTGAAAACACAGGTGTATCTTAGGATTTATTCACTTATTTTCTACATTTTGAATCAAGGATTTAGAATTCAAATAGTAGCATGTTGCATGTAAGTTATGATAAAGCTGTAGCTCCCACTTTTCATCAATAATAACGCAAATTTTCCTATACCCATTATTTAAAATTGCGCAACGAGAGGCGCACCTCGCCTTAGTTCAATTCGATCTTGTAACGCATTGAGGTGGACTCTTCGAAACCGAACCATGATGCGTACGCCTCAAATCTACGGAGGCATGCCTTGAGGCGCACCTTGCCTCACTTCTGTGAGGCTTTTGCCTCGAAATAAAATGTAAATAAAGTTATTAAAACCTAAACCTGATGTCGAGTACCTTCGTTCCTACTATTCAACTTTATCTATTGCACCGCTTGTAAGGTAGAGTTTTGAACGAGTCACTAAAAGCCTCTTCGCCTTCATCGATGACATGCATGGTCGATCGGAGTCCAGATTGGTTGACGATGTGCCCTGTTGGATTGGAAGTCAGGAACTCTTGATCCAACATATACTTTACTTTTATCACCATAAAAAATCAATGTTTAAATCTTCTTCTTGTAATTTAAAATTTTAATAAAATTTAATTAAATAAAAATTGAATAATAAATTTTTTATTTAAATAAAAAATAATATTTATTGAACAGGCCATTTCAACCAAATCGGAACTAGTTCGACGGTTTACCGGTTGAACCGACAGTTCAAATCGGTTTGCACTAGTTCAATGCAAATCTAGTTTTCGAACTTGACTAGACTGACAACTGGACTGGTTCACGGTTTAACCGATTGAATAAGTCAGTCTAGTTTTAATTGGAAAACATAGGTGTAATCCAATTTTATCTTAGGATTTATTTACTTATTTTCTGCATATTGAGTCGAGAATTCAGATAGTAGCTTGCTGCATGTAAGTAACGATAAAACTATAGCTCCCACTTTTAATCAATAATAGCTCAAATTCCCTATAGCCATTGTTTAAAATTGCGTAACGAGATGCACGCCTTCAGTGCAATTCGATCCCATAATGCGTCGAGGCGGATGCTTCGAACCCGAACTGTGATCCGTACGCCTCTAATCTACAAAGGCGCGCCTTGAGGCACACCTTGCCTCACCTCTATAAGGCGTTCATCTCAAAATAAAATGTAAATAAAGTTATTAAAACCTAAACCTAATGTCATTTACTTTTATCACCTCTATAAGGCGTTTTGCATATTGCTTCATTGATCGAGTAGGTAGGACCATCGACTCATATGCTCGACTCGTATGCTGTTGCTCGACTTGCGTTTACAAAGTTTTTACCTCTTTTTTTTATTAGTGCTCTCAATTGGTTTGGATGATCAGTGGCTTTATGCTGTGTATCATTAGCTCATTAAATATGTGGCATAACATTAAGTTAATAAAACATGTCAACTTGCCATGTTTTTTTAAATATATATCAAAATTGAATAAATTTTGAATGCATTAAAAATGAACAACATATTAAATTAAGAATTTATCAAAAGTTTACTTTGTATTTTATTTTCATCAATTCTCATCATAATGTATTTATCTAAACTTGCTTTAGTGGCATAACATCATAAGATGTTTATTTTTATTCTGAATTAGCAAATTATATTCATGAAATGAGTCCTAACGATTTAAAATAGAGTGCAAAACACTGAATTAAAATTTTGAAAAGAGCAGATTTTGTCATTTTATATCTTATGCATTTTTGTGTTTTACATATGCCAATTTATTTCTTATGTCAACTTTTAATATATTATTTGATTATTATACAAAAAAAATCATCATTTTGACTTTATGCAATTTTCTAATTTTGAGGCTTACGGCTCATAGTGCCTTGAGGCTTACACTTTACCTCACAAATGAAAAATGTCTCAATACGTAATTGCGTAATTTTAAACATTGCCTATAGCCACCCTCTTTTTCTCCTAAGTTGTGGGCAATCAAGTACTTTGCTTCATCCATTGCATTATATATGAAACTCATTACAGGCTTCTTCTCATCATTATCATCCTCAAAACTTGTACTAGTGGCTATTTGTTGTAATAGCATGAACTACAATCTGCTATAATTTATCATTCAAAATAATCTTTCTTCTTTCCCTGCATGTTTTCTTGCCCCAAGCACAACTCAGCCACTATGTTAAAGTGAACATAGCCTCCAAATATTGTCTTGCCTCCAACATGCTCCACAAACTCCACCATTCTCTGCAAAGTTAAATAAATAGTGGCAAATTTTGCTACTATAGGCTTCAATATTTTTTTCTTCGAAAACTTTCTTATAAGTGCAAAAACCCATAAATGATTATATAATACAATTTATTTTGGGCTTTAGACAATGCATTTTTATGTTGTGGCAGCTTTGCATGTTTTTCAAGGTTCAGGTCTATACAATTTGTGGCAGATGGTATCCAATATAAGATCTTCCTCTTTTCCATAAGCTTTGCACATGTTTTTCTATAAGCATTGACATTATCTGTTACCACTTAAACCACCAAATGCTTCTCAATCTCATGAGCAATACCATCAAATACTCCACAAAATAAAATTAAGCTTCTATTCTTTGTATCTGACCATCTATCAGATATGATATTTGTTCCCATATGACTTCAGGTCCTCTTGATTTCTCCAATGCCTTTTTTAGTGTTTGTTAGCTCCTCCTTCAAAACCTATGTCCTTAAATCATAAGTGGATGAGGATTTTAGACCTCGCCCATAGGCTCTAATAGAACGGATCATGTTATAGTAAGCAAAAGAGATTGCAATATTAAAAGGATTAGCAATCTCATAAAAAAATGCCTATATCCATGCATACTTGTGTTCGTGTCTCCCAACAATCTCTGTGAATAGTTTCTTTGATGTAGAAAGTCTATCTCCCTATTTATCTTCCACCAGGTTTATCATATAATGATCCATGGGACCTCTTGCAACCCTACATGACATGAGTTGCAATGAGTATAATGGAGCCAGACCACCATGCTCATCAAATTTTTCATCGAACTGTCGCTATGATAGACGCTTCAACATTGCTGACTTATTCATATATGCTTTGATTTCCTCCATTTTTTTGGGCATTTTGGAATATGGTGCCACATTCTTATGGAATCCAAATATGTGCTCCTTTATTCTTATTACACCACCCTTCACCTCATTACAATAATTACATTTCAAGTAAACATATATTTTGTCGTCGCCTCCCACATTAACTTGAATGTTATGTTTCTACGTCAGGGTCCTTCATATGACCCGATGTGATTTTTTCTTTGCCTCTAACCATCATCTACAAAACTCTAAATTAGCACAAATGATATAAGTTGTGAACAATATCATATTTAAGCAAATTTAAACTAGTAATAAAATATATACTTAAATAATCAAAATTAGACAAGTAAATAAACAAAAAGGTTTCAAAAAATTTAAGAAATTTTTTGAAATAAAATAAATAGTACTTCGGGAGGAAAGAAGAGTGGTGATAGGAGGAGAACACGGAGGTGGCAACGACGTTAGGTTGCTTGGAGTTCTCCGGTAGCGACTAACAAGAATTTGCGACACGGGAGGAGTGGGGGAACTTCCTCCTGTCTATTCCGCACTTCCGTTGCATGAGAGGAAGGCATGGGATGGGCTTTTGTTTGGGTTCAGTGAGAAGTTAGGGATTTTTAGTAGAAAATGATTTTAAAAAAATAATTTGCTTGAGGCATGCATCTCAAGCCAAAGAGGCAAGGCATGTCTCAAAGTGCACCTCAGCAATGTTTAAAATTGCGTATTCGGGTACTGAGGCGTTTTTCATTCGTGAGGCGAGGCGTAAGCCTCAAGGTGTTTTGAGGCGTAAGCCTCAAAATCAAAAGATTGCGTAAACATAAAATGATAAAATTTTTATATACTAATGAGTAAATAATATAAAACATAAAAAAGCATAAGATATGAACTGAAATCAAAATATCCCAATAATAAGACAACATGAAATATAATTCAACTCAAAATTCTATCTTTCGTCAATCCAAAGTGTACGCTTCATTATCCAGAGTAGAGGCATGCACCTCGAGGAGTTTTTAAGTAGAATTGCACAGAAACGCCCCTCAAGAATGCCTCTTATTCACAATTTTAAACGGTGATTACAATAAAAGAATTTATCGAGTGAGAGAACATCTCAATAGGAAAGAAAGTATGAGAGAGAAAGAGTGAGAATCTTGCTAGATAATGTTTAGTAGGAAAACATTAATTTTTTTTCTTCTTTAGTATGCCATGTCATGAAAAAAATGTCATAAAGGCCTCCTATTTATTGATTTATAAGCATCATAAAAAATCCTTAAATCAACTATTAATTTAAAATAAAATAATAGATATTATTATAGTTACAAGGGATTAGGAGGGACTTAACGTGGAAGGTTAATGAAGAGAGATAATATTGAATCCTCTCTCTCTCTCTCTCTCTCTCTCTCTCTCTCTCTCTCTCTCTCTATATATATATATATATATATATATATATCCCCCTTACTTGTCTAATGGCCTTGCATGTCCATTGGGGTTTTGGCTTCATGTGATAAAATGGTAAGTGGTAGTCCCTTGGTGGTGATATCAGATATGGCGCTTTTGATGAGTTGGCATTCATGATGATATCAGTCATTTGTTGATTTGATGCAAGCCAATGATAGTGAACCATCATCTTTTTTGTTTTTTTTGAATGATGGAAATATGTCCCATTAAATTATTAGGTTGGTCAAGACATATACATATATACATATATAAGATGGGTGCAATATCAATTAAAAAGTATGGACTGCATGTTTCTAGACTATTCATCATAAATGTATCCATCAATATGGGTATCTAAGATCTCTAGATTAAAAACCAATGAGTATGCTATACCACTTGCGCCAAGATCCTTTGGTAAGTGGTGAATCATCATTTGATTCACTAGGTGGCCTTCTCTAGGGTTAGTCCAACCATTGTCTGAAGAGCCTCCTTGATCACAACCCTCCCTCTAGCATTCTTATAATAAAAACACATAAAATCGACAAACTTAATGGCTTCTCTTTGTTCTTAAGACTGTGTTATACTTCAAGGTTTTTATATTAGTGACGTTACTTAATTGATATTTACTGTATCATATTTTATGTATGCTCTGACAGTCCATCACATCTTTGCAGGTATGGTGACCTCTATAGTGAACAAAATGTGGCCATAAGTGGCATCCATACCCATGCTGGACCTGGGGGTTATCTTCAATATGTTGTGTACATAGTAACTTCTCTTGGCTTTGTGCGACAGTCATTTGACGTCATTGTTGATGGCATAGAGAAAAGCATCATACAAGCTCATCAAAACCTACGGCCTGGATCACTTTATGTAAATACAGGTAAGGTGATAGGGTATACTTTTATCAGCATCGTTGCATTTGTTGCTTCTTTTTGCTTAGTATTACATGCATTTGGCAGAACTCCTTGTTCTTAATTCTATTATTTGCTGGTTGATCACGCTTAGTTTTATTGTTTCCAGCCAGTTAATCGGGTTATAACAGGGCTGGCATTGTTATTTTTTTAAATTAAAATTTTTCTTAATAAACTCAAAAATGCAAAGAATACTAGTAAGGATTTGTTGTTTTAGAGATTATAGCTTTATAAAAGAAGGCTAAGATCAAATTGTAAATTACAGATGTTATTTGATTAAATTTGTTAGACATTCCTAAAATGGAAATTATTATTATTATCATTGTTTTTTTTTTTTTTTTTTTTTTTTTTTTTTTTTTTGCGACGTGGAGTTGAGCAGCTTAAGGTGTTGTTTTAGGCAAACGGATTTGACCAAAACAGCACTAGAAAGTATTGCCTGTGTACCTTGACTCACATTGCATAAAGCTCAACGCAGTTCTGTAGTTATGAATCCAGCTACGAGTAGGAGACAATAAAATTAAAATACAAACAAATAGCCTGCAAAACAAAATGTTAGCAAACTTGTTGCTAAAGTGGAACTGTCTTCCTGAATCTTCCATCACACTAAGATTAAACTTCAAATTGAACAAGATGGCATGATAACTCTTTCAACCAGATGATATAAAAAAACAAAATAGTTGATTAGAGAGATATGTAAGTAAGGAAACCAAACTAAAGAAATTTATTGAATATGCCACCTGATATGACCATAACAATGGGCATAGAAACTTTGTTAACAAGATAAACAATCAATTCTGAATCTACCATGTGAAGGTACCCAAAGAATAATTACCAGCTTTCAAATGAGGGAAGGCAACAACCAGAAATGAATCCAATTAACAGGAACTGAGAAGAGGGAAATATGCACCAAATTGAAAAAAATAAGAGAGATTCATCACGTCCTATCAGAAATCTTTGAGATAAAAGGCAGCATCTATATCTTCTAAGGAATTAGGGAAAATACCCCTGGAAAAATTATAATATATTCTAATAAAATAATTGATACGGCGGAAGCGGGAGCCGCAGGAGAGGGTTGTTAATTTGAGGGGATTCATCAGGAAATATTTCCTAATTAAAGAGGGAAGATTTGGGGGCTGATTTGGAGGGTATTAATTAGGAAATCTTTTCTAATTGAAGAGGGCAGATTTGAGGGCAAATTTGGGGGCTGATTTGGAGGGGATTAATTAGAAAATATTTCTTAATTGAAGATGATAGATTTGGGGGCTGATTTGTAGGGAATAATAAGTAAATGTTTCGTAATTGAAGAGGGTAGGTTTGGGGGTTAATTTGAGGGCTGATTTGGAAGGGAAATAATTAAGGAAATAGGGAAGATTTGAGAGGAAAATGGGAAAGGGCTTTTAGGGTATTTGTTATTTATTGTTTTTTTTAAGTAGGTGATTTTTCTAGGGTTAGTGTACGTGTTGTTTGCTGAATTTAGATTGTTCTTAGGGTGTTTGGGCTCTAGTCGACGGCTAGAGATTTGGTAGAGCCGGATCTTCCTCTCCAATTGAAAATCCAGTTGTATCTTGTCTTTCTTTCATAAAACTTTCAATAAAAAAAGTGTTCTTGTGTGTTCAATTCCTAGTTTTCTTGTCGTTGATTTTCTGAAATTGTTGAAATCAAATTTCAGCAAAGGCTTTTTCCTAAAATTCTACAAGTACTTCCTAACATATTGGTATCAGAGCGGTGTCGTGGGCTGAAATTTAAATCTCCATTGCTGATTTCAGTTGCATTTTTTCTCACCTTGTTGATTTTCATAGTTTGAAGACTAGATTCGCCAATTTTGTTGTTTTTCATGGTTTGGAACCTAAATCTGCGAATGGCAGCAAAGAAGATGGAGGTGTTAGAAGGCGAGATAGAAAATTTCAAGGCCAAAGTGGAGAAAAGATATTCCGACATTGAAGGGAGGCTCTCATCCATAGAGAGCATGATAACCTCCTAAAAAATATAGAAGACATGATGAGGAAGTTGATCGAAATGCATTCAAAAGCCTCACCAGCAGTTTTGAAAGAAGGATAACAAGGAGGGGGGAGGCTGAACCCCTTGGAATACTACCTGAGCGTAGGGGGAGAGGTGGAATGGAGGAGGTTATGGTTGGGCAAAGTCATGGGGTCCAAATTAGCTAAGGGAGGAAGGGATAGGATCACACCATCATTACATAGGAGGAACTAACAGAGGGAGAAGCCATTGGGGTATGGATGCGAGATCGAGAGAGTTGAAGATGTTGGTGTTTGAAGGGAAAGATGCTTAGGGTTGGGTGTATCGGGTGGAGCGTTACTTTGCAATCAATGGCCTAACGGATGGGGAAAAACTCATGGTGGCAGGGCTATGTTTGGAGGGAAAAGCCCTGGCCTTGTTTCAGTTGAGGGAAACTTGATATCCAACCTATTCATGGGGCGAATTTGAGGAGTGTTTGTTGGAGCGTTTTTGTGTCTTTCAGGAAGGAGACCTCCACGAATAGTTCTATGCCATAACTCAATATGGGACAGTCATGGAGTATCGTGAGAAGTTTTAGTTGCTGTTTGGAAGATTGAGAGGAATTTTCAAGGAAGGGTTGGAAGGGAATTTCATGAAGGGGCTTAGGGAGAACATACAAGAACAGGGTGTTTAGACTTAAGGGCTGAGAGAAACAATGGAGCTTTCTTAGAGGGTTGAGGAAAAATATCAGAGGGAGAAGGCCAACAGGAGCAACATCATGGGAGGGGCTTACAGGGGTAATCTACGACCCTGGCACCAAGAACCCAAATGGTGTCGTTTCAAAGGGAAGCACCGAAGGAGAAATAAACTGGAGTTCTCCTTGGAGAAAACTTCAAGTGTCTTCTAGAAATAGAGGTATAGGATAGGTAGGCAAAAGAGTTATGCTTTAGATGTGATGAGAGGTATATATCAGGGCACAGGTGTAAGGACCAAACTCTTCTGGTTCTCATTGTCTATGATAATGAGGAAAGCTGAGGGAGGTGGGAGGGAGGTATCAGTGGCGGGGGAAAAGCTACATTTAGACATGACAGATATCTCCTTGAACTCAGTGGTGGTATTCACTCTAATCACACAATGAAAGTGAAAGGAGAAATAGCAAACAGGGAGGTAGTGGTGTTGATAGACAGTGGGGCTACCCACAATTTCATATCCAACCAAGTCGTAGAGCAATTGGGGGTGAAACTAGTGAACACAGTGTACTATGGAGTGATTATGGGCACTGGGAAGACGTAGGCAGGTAGAGGAGTGTGTAGTGGGGTAGGGAATCTAGGTGAGGGCGGACTTTCTCCCATTGAAGTTAGGGAGCGCTGATGTCATCTTGAGAATGAAATGGTTGCATAAATTGGGAAAGATCAAGTTTGATTGGCAGATGTTAATGATGGAGTTCAAGGTTGAAGGGAGGAAAGTGGTTATTAGAGGGGATCCTAGCCTATCCAAAACTACTATTTCACTCATAACCATGGTCAAGTCAATACAAGGAACAGGGCGCTAGGCTACTTGGTGGAGCTGTAGAGGCTGGAGGAGATCCGAGATTTAGAGCTGGGCAGGTGTCCGTGTTCTATATTTTTAATAATTGATGAGCCCCGTATTTGTGTCGTGTTGTATCCATGTCGTCGTCCGTATCTGTGCATCATAGGAAGCAACATTTGGTTCATCACTCCCTTAATAATTATTTTACAATCAACAATATATACATTATATTTCCAATCATTCCTCGCCAATTAAATAAACCAAAATGCAAATCAGTTAGTGCTTTTAATGGTATGCAATACGGCAATACCATACACTTTGTGTCATTGCAAGCTTTAATATACAAAAAAAATAAAAAATAAAAATTTAGAGTTCTTAGAAGCATAAGTAATTTGCATAATTTATTGATAGTTTTGATGACAAGCATATCACAATGATTTGGTGTTCATCCAGTTATTTTATATGTAACCAGAAAAGGTTGAAATGTTTTCATTCCCACCATATATAAGTTAAATCTTAGAAGCAAGCGATTGCCGATTGTTATAGTCATTATGAAAGGAATATGTAATGTTAGCGTAATGGTAGGTAGTAAAATGGATTTACTCTTGCCGCTACTCTATGTTATTTTTACAAGTTTGGTGATGCATTTCAAGAGATTATTTACATTATCTAATTATGTGGTATTACTCCTTAAAAACTAACAATCTTTCATGGAGATTCACTTGATTCTTGGTATAGAGTTCATGTTATATTTTGTTTTATTTTTTTAATCGCCATTGGTGGGTGCAATCCTCAGGATTTAATTCAAATTTCCTAGGGCTTGAAAGCAGCTACCTTGTTATCACTAACCATCCACTTCTATCTATATAAGCACAATCTTGTCACTTAGTCATTTTAACACTTTTGCGACATGATGTAATTAAATCCCCAATTTTTATACTCAGGAGAAGTAGATGCTGGTATAAACCGCAGCCCAAGTGCTTACCTGAACAATCCCGCTTCAGAGAGAAGCCAATATCAGTATAATGTTGATAAACAGATGACTCTTCTGAAGTTTACAGATAATGAATGGGGTCCAATTGGTAGCTTCAACTGGTTTGCAACTCATGGAACTTCAATGAGCCGCACAAATTCCTTGATAAGTGGTGACAACAAAGGGGCTGCTGCACGTTTCATGGAGGACTGGGCTAAACAAAAAAGTTTTGGTACACAAAGTCACAGTAGTCATGTTGCTGCTTCTGGCACTCACAACAATCAACAAGGATTTCCACGCAGGGTCTCCAGCATTATCCCTCCAGTGCATGAGAACTGTATGTCTTAGCATCTCTAGTTATACTCAATAGCATGTGTAAGCTGACTATTAGATGCTTTTTATCATTGTATTTATTTCAATTTAACCTTGGGCAGCAAACAAATTAAAGGAGCTTGTTTCCTCCTTCAAGGCATCAGGTGGAATGCAGTTATCAGGTCCTCAGAGTATAGTTCAACGGGTGCGAAACACTTTTTCGCAGGGAAGCCAACAAAATTTTGTGTCTGCATTTTGTCAGACAAATTGTGGAGATGTCAGTCCAAATGTGCTAGGAACTTTCTGCATTGACACTGGGTTACCTTGTGATTTCAATCACAGCACCTGCAATGGAAAGAATGAACTGTGTTATGGACGTGGCCCTGGGTAGTCACTTATGTCCTTGCATTATTTGTTTTATTATATTATTTATTTCTAGTGAAATTTACTTGTTGACCGTTAAATTCTATCAGTTATCCAGATGAAATTGAAAGTACGCGCATCATTGGTGATAGGCAATTCACTAAAGCTGTTGATCTCTTTAATACTGCCTCTGAGCAAATAAAGGGGAAAGTCGAGTTTCATCATGCTTACATAGATTTTTCGCAGCTTGAGGTTACTGTATCAAGCAGTGAAGGGAAGCAGGTGGTAAAAACTTGCCCTGCAGCTATGGGTTTTGCTTTTGCTGCAGGTACCACTGATGGTCCTGGAGCTTTTGATTTCAAGCAGGGGGATAATCAGGTATTTTGTGGTTATCTTCTTACATAGAGAATGCTATAATTCTGGATTTTCGAGTCAAATTTTTTGTAACAGGGTAATCCTTTCTGGAAAGTGGTGGGGAGCTTGGTGAAGGCCCCAAGCAAAGAGCAAGTTGATTGTCAGAAGCCTAAACCAATTTTACTTGACACTGGTGAAATGAAGCTTCCCTATGATTGGGCGGTTAGTAACAGCTTACCCTGTCAAAGTCTGGTACCTTAATATGAATATGACATCCTCTTACTGCTGTTAAATAAAAATTTATCATGCATAATATATCTAATGAAGAAGGGTGTGTTTATCTTTAAAGAAATAAAAGTTACCTTAAGACGACTAGCAGGAAACTATTAATTTAATTGAGATCCGACGAAATCACCCCGAATGGAATCAACTTGATGGTTCTACATGATTGCCTTGTGCTTAATTTCTACATCAAACAATGGGTGGTGTTTAGGTAATAGATGATAGAGAATGATAAAAAAAGTGTGGAGGGTAAATTTTTAGGAGCAGATTTCATAAAATTTTTTAGGATAGGAGCAGGAAAAAAAATAAATTTAAAAGGGAGCATACAAGTGAACAAGAATTGCGTTTTCTTAAAGCAGGATTTTGTTTTCTGAAGAAAACTACAAGGTGTTTTGCATTTTCTATGCAAATGCAAATCAACACTTCGTTTTCATTGAAAAATAACACCACATGCATTTTCTGCTGCTTCTCACGAGAGAAAGAGAGAGAGAGGGAGAGAGAGAGGAAACCCATTCATTTGTTGTTTTTATTTTCATGAGAGAGAGAGAATTATGAATTAACTTAAATTTAATTTGTTTATCATAATTATTAGTAAACACTGCCGTTGCCAGGTCCCAAGTCCTGGATGAGAAAAGTAGAGGGTTGCGTTAGGTAGTCGACAGCCAGTATAGTGATACAAATAAATAAAAAAAAAGAGAGATTTTGAAGTTATGTAGGAAATCATTAGGGTGCCATAATAGTTTGCATTGTCACCTTTGGATGGCTGCAGCATTTGTTTTTGTTCATCCTGCTTTGCTTGCTTTGCTGCTCTTCCTGGTTCATATTAGTCATCTTGTTTGTGCAGCCTTCGATTCTTCCAATTCAGATACTTCGTGTGGGGCAAGTTGTCATCCTCTGTGTTCCTGGAGGTAATTGTCATATAAGTTTCTCTTTTTACATAAACAGCTCATGTTTTACTGTTGCCAATAGAGAAAAATTGTATCTGGATGAGACTGATTTTGCTACGCAAGTTATTAATTTTATATTTCATGTGTTACCGCTCAATACGATTGAACTATAAAGCCATACAACTACAGTTTAAAGATAAATATAACTAAATTATTTGACATCCATAAAAACAATTATGAACTAAAGAAGTATGGCATTAATTCTCTGAAAGAGATTCTCTTAATGTCTATAGGATTATGAATTTTTGGGAAGACATTTTTCTCTTTATAGGATGTACTTGAGAACCAGCATCACTAAATAAAAAAATCATTGAAAACATACGCATGCAATAAAATTAGTCCCATCATGATGTAGACTTTTCAGAATATCCTGACCATTTTTTCCATTGCCAACCTATATTGCACCCAAGCCTGGCTTCCCTTCTATGTGAAATAATAGTAAAAAAGACATTTATTGAAATTATTTTTTTCTAAAATCTTCTTGAAGCAGACTTCCAGAATAGAATATCCTTTTTTCATCCCTTATCCTGTTTTTTTACTATAGAGTTTACAACAATGGCTGGAAGGCGACTCCGAGATGCTGTAAAAGAAGTGCTTACTGGTGATGGTAATGGAGAATTTGACAACAATGTTCACATAGTGATTGCTGGGTTGACAAACACATACTCCCAATATGTGACAACGTTTGAGGAGTACCAGATACAAAGATACGAGGTTTGTGAGTTATTAACCTTAATAATAGCAAATTTCTCTTGGAATATTCTTTGATAATTTACTTGATTGGTGAATAAGCATGAAAAACTTGAAGATTCGTCTTTTTGCTATCTGTCTTGTATCTATTAATGTAAATACAACAATAACATCAAGCCTTTGTCACACTACGTAGGGTCGGCTACATGAATCCTTTTTCGTCATTGTGTTCTGTTAAAAGTCAAATTCTCATTTAAATCTAATAAAGAAATATCATTTCTAATATTTTCTAATCAAGTTTTTTTAGGTCTACCTCTACCTGATGTTAGACTATTTATATGAGGTCATTTTAGTCCTATATTATAAATGTGTTTAATATAATCTCTTAACCCCTCAAATATCATCAAAAATAAAAATTTTCTGTTGGATTATTTTGATTCTGATTTGGGAAGTTGAGGATTGTTTTGGATTGAATTTGAAGAATTAAGAGATGAAATCCCACTCGAATTTTTTCAAAACCATTTCGAACTTTTTCTCCAAATAAAAATATTTGAGGGCTCTCCAAATAAAGAAAGACCATTTCTTCCCATTTGCTGTATCAAGCAAACTAACCCAAACCATTCTTCAAATTCAGGGAGCTTCCACTTTATACGGCCCCCACACTCTAAATGCTTACATTCAAGAGTTCAGAAAGCTTGCCTCTGCTCTCCTCACTGACCAAAACCTCCATGATCAAGGCCCTCAACCTCCAGATTTGCTTGACAAGCAAATCAGTCTTCTCCCTCCTGTTATAGTAGATTCAACTCCATCTGGCCTACATTTCGGTGATATGAGCAATGATGTGCCAATCAACTCCACATTCAAGCGCGGCGACGTCGTCTCTGCCACATTCTGGTCCGCTTGTCCTCGAAACGATCTCCTGACAAATGGAACTTTTGCTCTGGTTGAGTTCCTAGATTCTAGCCAGAACTGGGTTCCTGCTTATGATGATGATGATTTCTGCTTGCTGTTCAAGTGGTCTAGACCTTCAAAGCTCAGTGCCCAAAGCCATGCCACTCTAGAGTGGAGAATTCCCCAAGATTCATTGCCGGGGGTTTACAGATTCAGGCATTTTGGTGCTTCCAAGAGCTTTTTAGGTTCAATAAGCTATTTCACAGGTTCCTCAACTGCTTTTGCTGTGGTGTAATACTGTAATGTAATGCAATTAATATAGGCTTCGTTTGGGATGATTTTTTTACTGTTTTATAAAGTAGTTTTTTAGTATTAAATAATTTTTTAATTAGAAATTTTTGTACTAAAAAACTATTTTAGAAAGCATTAAAAAAGCTGCCCCAAACGAAGCTAGAATGTACTTTGCTGTTAATGTGATGAGTTGTTCAGCCTGATCAGGTTCATGCTTTGGGTTCAATACTCATATTGGTTTCTTAAGTTAAAAGCATCATAAGTCTGACCATATTTTTTCTTTTTTTTGGGGGGTATTTTGGTACAGATTTAATAAAAATTTGACTTATTTTATTACATTATGTCAAAATAATATTTTTTCTTAGGCTGTCTTAGGCTTCAATAATTTCATTAATGAAATTTCAAGTTGTATATATATTTTACATTAATTTTAATGAGTTTGGGGCCTAGGCTTCATTTGGGACAAATTTCTTACTACGGCTATTTTTTTGAAAATTATAATTTTTATTTGGTTATTATTTTTTCACAGCTTCAAAAAAATTATGCTAGGAAGTCGCTTTCTACAATAGCTTTTAATAAAATTATTTCTCCTTAATAATTTTATAACTACAGTTATAAAAAATTATAGTCATCCCAAAATGACTATTAGGCTTCATATGGGATGGTTTTATCATTGATTCATTTAGCTAAAAATATCGAGATGAATTTGTTAATTAGGTCAATGAATCCATATAATTTTTATATATTTATATATTTAATTTCTGAAATTTTATATTTATTTATATAATATTTTAATATTTAAATTATATATATAATTTGAGATGCTATTCATCTAAAAGTTTGGCTTTACCTATATAAAGCCCAATAGATTAATCAACTATGAATAATTAAGCCTCAACAAATGTAAAAATATCCAAAAATTTTGAGAAAAGAAAAAAAGAAAAATTATTATAATTTTTCTCTCAATTCTTTTTCAAAAATAGTTATTGTTAACATACACCCAAACAAGCAATAATATGCAATTTTAAGACTTTGCTCACAATCATTAATATAAAATATAAGATCTAATAGATAATGGCAACATTAATATGATGGAATAAATACTCTTAAAGCTAGAAACATGGAAATAATCCTTCATATGATTGGCCTAAGCATGATTTAAGGTGATAGAACCATTATGTGATTTTAGGAATTTTTTTAAGCTTTTGAATTTTTAAAAATAAGAGAATTGATTTTTAAATCAAATAAAAATATCTTAAATAATCATATTAAAATATATCATGAAAATTGTATCCAAATAAAAAATTAAAG